CACGCGGGGGGCGGCGGGGGGAACTGGGGTGCCCATATCTTCCTGCAGCCCCCCGGGAGCCACAGTCTGCGCCGGGGACCGGAGCATGGTGCTCGCCTTCGCCCTCTGCCTCCTGGGCAGCTCTGCTTTGCTCCTGGCCACCACGGCTGGGGCTCGAGGTAAGGGAGACCGGCAGGTCTGCGCCTCTGGGACCTTCCTCTCATGGCCATCCTCTTCCTTGTCTCTGCTCCTCTCCTTGCTGATCCTTTTGCTTTTCCCTGTGATGGCAGATAGACAGGAGCCCTGCGCTCGTCCCAGGTGGCCCTCAGCATGCCAGACCCTGAGCATCACAGAGCCTCTGAGCTTCTCTGCTAATAAAAAGACCCTCTGGGATAGCACCGGGGCCACGCTGTGCCCTTCAGCGGCCAGGGGAAAGGGAGTTATAACCTGGCTACGGGGGCCTATGGAGAGCTTTCACAACCTGCCCAGTTTCTTTTAACAAGGGGCTTGACCTACGCATTTAAACTGCCAAAGTAAAGCTGATTATGCGTGCAGCATCTTACAGCAGTGAGGTGAGGAGCTTGTTCCAATAATAGGTTGTGTTTGAGCTCTGTCAAGTTGAAACTTGCCATGATAAACAGAAATGCGTTGAGATGAGGCAGCAGAGTAAAATGGCAAACAAGACTGTGCTGTTTGGCATGTTGGGTCTGAAAGCCTGCAGGGTATGAAAGCCTGGCAGGCAGCCCGAGGTGCCCTCTTGTTTGGGTCAGGGCAGCCAAAACCTACAGAAACTCAGCTCCATCACTGCAGTATGGTTCCCTTCACCTCTTTCCATCTTGTAGGTGTAGGTGCTGCCACCTGGCAGCCCTGGCAAGGTTTGAGGAGTGGTTTGGTACTGTATGGAGAGGACTTCTGCCTATATCCTCCATCATGTTAATTATTCACTTGCATCTTGAGAGACCAAAGGCTGACCCTCCTGCCTGAGCTGGCTGCGGTGGCTCAGTGGCAGGCTGGGAGTCAAGCAAAAAAATATCACTGAGTTAACACTATGTAAACAGGTTAAGTCGTATTTTCTTCTATTATACTTGGTTTTCTGTGTGTTCAGCTGATGTATGTGCATTCGGTTTCATTCAGGTGCATTCCAGCCTTGTGGAAGTAACTGTCATTGCTCACACGTGCTGTTTGATGCTGGAGAGCTGTGGTTCTCCAGCAAAGCTGACCTCAGAGCTGCACGAAGGGGTGTGAGGGACCGAGCTGTGGCCCTTTACTCAGTAACCCAAACGATATTAGCAGTGAGACGTGTTTCTTTTACCTTCTTTCTGCATTCCCATATCTAGAGCAAATATTTACCTAGTGAACAAAAAGCTACTTCCCTGTGGCTTTGGTTCTGAATGTCTGTCTGCCTGCCACTCTCTCTGCATGCCTGCCTCTCCGTCTCCCTCTTTCTGTGTCCAGGGGTTCGATGCAAACACCCCCCAGGTACCCCTGGAAGCACACCAGCAGGTTCACGGGCAAGTCCCTTGTAAGGTGCAGCAGAGCCTTTACTCTCACTGGCACAGGTCACGCGCCGTCACGGCGGTGCCATGGGCAGTGTGGCACAGCACCCCCAGCCCACGCTGTGCACCCCCTGCCTGGCTTTCTTGCATGACGGCATGTCCCTGGTAGCACAGACCCCTGGACTGCTGTTAGGTCGGTCCTGGATGGTCCTGCTAACATTTCCCCGTGTTGGATCGCACCCAGGAGATGTGCTGCCCAGCCTGCAGGTTAGAAGTGTGCAGAAAGGCCACGAAAGGCCCTTGATCTCCCTCGCTGACTGACATGAAGTCCTGGACATCCAGTTCTTGCCAGCTGAGGAAGCAGCAGGGTCCCTCAGCAGTACAGGGAGGAGCCCTGCAGCCCCAGGGGCACCCGCCCTTGCTGCAACCTCCGCCAGGTCCCAGCGCTCAGGGATCAACAGGCTGCGTGGACACCATCAGCACGGCAGCCATCACAGGCAGGAACAGCTTGAGAGTGCGTAGGTTAACAACGTTTTCTTTCTCTCCCTTTTCCAGTTACCCAATGCCCGTTCCCACGCATCCGGAATGGGAAGAGAGTATCCGTCGCTCGCTATATCTACAGGACTGGGGACACCATAAGCTTCGCATGCAACGCAGGGTACACCTTGCAGGGCTCCCGCACCACCACGTGTGGAGCTGACTTGAGATGGAGCCCACCTCTGCCAGTGTGCAAAAAGGGCAAGTGTCCCAGCGCGCGGTGCGAGCGGTGACAGCCGCGGGGGAAAGCTCCCTCTCATGTCCTCTCAAATTTGGTGGGAAAGCAGAGCCGGGATGCATCTGTCCTCCTCACTTCTTCTCTCAAACCAAAGTGCTGCCAGCTTGGCTCTCGGAGGGAAACAGCTCAGAAGAAACGAGCTGGGGTGGGACACAGGGATGGCTGCAGCCTGCCCTGCCTTGGGCTCTGCAAGGGATGGGGAAAAGTTAACGCTGGAGCTGAGCTGCTGTGTGGCAGGAGGCTGTAACTTCCCCAGCATGAGCGGGGGCCATAGGCCAGCTGTGGGGATGACAGTATCTGCTGCCCCAGGGGGATTTCTGTGACTTCGCTTCTGGTCAGATGCGGGATGTTTTCATCTTCCTCCTGGAAGGGGAAGTAATCCAACTTCTCGCTGTTCTTGTTGCTTCCATGTCCATGTGCATCTTCTGCCAAATCCCATGATGTGCCTGTGAGTTCTCCTGTTGGGACTGTCATTACTATTCGTAATTTCCTCTGGCTGTAATGCAATTGTAATCTTAATGTTGCTGTACCTTTTGTTAACTAATACTTTGGTCCAGCAAATGGAACAAAGACTGAGCAGAAATGAGGATATTACCCTGATATTACCCAAACAGTCCTAGTAGCACACAAAACGGCAAACAGCTGACCCACAGGGCAATTTCCCCTCCCTCTCCAGAGGTGACGTGTCCTCGGCCACCGAACATCGCCAACGGGCTGCACAGTGGACAGTCCTTGGACAAGTTTTCCCGGGGAGTGACCGTGTACTACGGCTGCAAGTATGGCTACGAGCTGATTGGGAACGTGTCCATCAACTGCACGGAGGTCGGGGTGTGGAGCAGGCCCCTGCCCCGCTGCAAAGGTGGGCGGATGCTTCACTGCTGGGTGGGGAGGATGGTGGAAAGGATGCTGGATGTCCCGTAGGAACAGTGCAGACAGGTTTACAGCAGTGATGAGAAGGGATGGGGCTGTGCATGTGCAGGATCTGGCCCATGCAGTGAGGTTTAAAAGGTGTTGTCCATGTTCCCCGCAGCAATCGGCTGTGAGGCACCCACGGCGCAGAATGGGAAGGTCTACAAGCTGCAGAGCACCTACAAAGCTGGAGACACTCTTTGGTTCAACTGCAATGCCGGTTACGCCGCAGAGGGCAACGAGGCTCAGTGCCAGCCAGGGGGGACGTGGGATCCGCCGGTGCTCATCTGCGAGAGGGGTGAGTGCGGGTGCCCACCGCTTCCCTGAGGGCAGCCCTGCCCAGCGGGTGCTCCTTGCAGGCAGGAGCAGCGTGTGCAGGCAGCGCTGCTCCTGCGATGGGCTTTAACGCATCGACGCAGCATCGCGCCGGCTGCCTTCCCCTCGCACGCTGTTCTCTCGCTGAGTTAGACCTTCTGTCTCCCTCTTGCAGTCCGACCATGCCCCATGCCTCCGGAGATCCCCAATGGAAATCACAACGTCGAGGGCAAAGAAGATTTTAGCATGGGAATGTCTGTAACGTACACCTGCAATCCTGGCTATACAACAGCAGAGGCAAAGCATTTTTTACCAAGGGCATGTCTGTAACGTACACCTGCAATCCTGGCTACTACCTGGTCGGAAACGCCGCTGTGTTTTGCAGAGTGTCTGGGAACTGGAGCCAGCCCGGCCCTCGCTGTGAAGGTGCGTCTGTGGTCTGTCCTCTCACGTGAGGATCTCCTAGTGTGGCTCTGAGCACAGGAGAGACCCTTCTATTGTGAAGGGGGGGCTGGAGTGGTTCATGCAGATGTCATGTAGGTTTTGTTGTTGCAATATCAACACCTGCGGGTTTTTTGTTTTGTTTTGTTCCGACTCCTTTGCCTATCGCTGATGTACATCATCATTTTCATCATTTCCAGTGACTGTCTGCCTAAATCCAGATATAGAGAACGGAAGGCCAGTTGAGGGTCAAGGACTTATCTCTGCACCTGGGCAAATGGTGACATTTCAGTGTCACGAGGGTTACAGCCTGCGAGGCAGTGCTGAGGTCTTCTGCCAGGAGGATGGCAGCTGGCACCCTCCTGTTCCCGTCTGCGACAGACTGTACCATTACCAGGAGTTCTCAAGCAGGCCTGAATTTCGAGGTAAATCATGACACTGCTGCCTGGGAGTACACCACTATTTCATGTCCCCTAATCCCATTAAAAAAAAGGGGTCTAAACCTTGTGAGTGGAAGATTTAAGTGTATCCTGGGAACAAGAACATGATACTCTGGAATCCATTGGGAAAATATGTTGTGTTTGTTTAATAATGGCTATATTAATCAAAATAAACAATTTTTGAAGGCAAACCAAGTGCCTTTCCTCATAACAGTGTTCTTTTTGTGCTTGCACCCAGCATGCCTGTCCTGCCTGACTCTCATGTCTGTTTTCTCTCTCAATAGGTGGTTGTGGTGCTCCTACAAGGTTACACTTTGCTGAGCTAAATGAGCAGCATAAAAATGAGATTGATTTTTCTGTTGGGAAGACTGTGCAATACACTTGCCGACCTGGATATGTTAAACACCCAGGAATGTCACCTACTATTACATGCCTTGAGAGCGGACTGTGGTCAGAAGCACTAGAGTTCTGTAAAAGTGAATAGCTCCTTGATTTGGTGTCCGTTGTTCGAGGAGGAATAGGTGCTAGGTTCTGTCCATGCTGCACAAACCTTAATGTTATTCTGGTGTTCAAATAGTATGTGACTAGTAAAGCCATGTAACTTTATGCTATTCGAAACCCATTTTGGGGTTAACGGGAAATGTGGACAGATTACTGGAGTAATAGTTGCATCTGTTGTACCATGGTATAGATAGACAGAAGCCTAAAATGAGGGTTTTTTCTCCCCCAGGGAAACAATGCAATCATCCTGGTGAACCTGTGAATGGGAAAATTATTTTCCTAACAGATCTCCTGTTTGGGTCAACAGTGCGCTACAGCTGTGAAGAAGGGTAAGTCCTGGTTTTGGCTACTGCTTAAAACAGCAAGGAGAGCTGTATTAGGTCAGGCTCCCTTTGTTCCTCCTATTTATTCACTCCCAGTAAATGGATTCTATCTAGAAGACACTGTATAGAGTTCTGAACCTATATAACACATAAGGTTTGCTATCTTATGTGTGCACTGTGAAATTGGGCAGGCAGAGCTAGGAAGGGAACTTCTTCAGGGCCACGGCTTTGCTGCCAGCAGGACTGATCATGTGGTCCGGGGTGGTTAGGAGGAGGTAGTAACTCAAACTGCAACAACTTGGGATGAATGTTCAATCCTTTTAACACCAGGCACAGGTTAATTGGACAATCCAGCAGACGATGTGAGATTTCTGGTAGACACGTTGCATGGAGTGGTGACATTCCCATTTGTCAGCGTAAGTAGCTTACAGCCTCGGCGGTTTTGCATGGATTTGGTAAATATTTTCCAGCAAAGACTGCCAAATCTTTCCAATCAAAGCTTTCACGGGGAATTTCTCTGCTCTGTGGGCATGAAAAACATCAGAAGGTTTTGATGTCATAAGAAAACGTTCCGGGAAAAGGTACAAGATCTCAAAGCTTAATGGATTATAGAAAGCAAAGTCTGAGCTGGAGCTTTTTCAGCAGTACTTGGGTATCCTGTCTCTGACTAACATCACAAGCCCATTACAAGAGAGGAAGAGAAAATATTATCTTAAGCTCAAGGGTTGTTATTGTTAGACACAGAGAGACCAAGGCTCAGCCCTAAGGAGAGGCAGAGCACTGTGGGAGGGCGAGAAGGGGAATCCCAAAGTCGCAAACCGCAGGCTCTCTCTTTGACTCCAAGCATGGCCAACTGGTGTGTACCCAAAGAGCTGCTGCGCCGCACCTCAGCAACTACACCCGGGTGTTTCTCTCCTGATTAAAGCAGTGTGGCTGATTAGGCGACAGTTTCATATGAAGAAAGAAAAATTTACTGGTACCTTCTGGGATTTTAAAGCATTTTGCAGATTCTCCAGGTACACATTAACCGAAGGTGACACACAGACTGCTGCCTTTGCACTGTGTGCAGCTGAACAGTCAGGATTTTACACAGGCAATGTAAAATAAGTATTTGCTTTTTTATTTCTTGAACAGCAGAAAAAATAAAGCATGTAGGTGTTTCTGCCATAGAGGTTTGTCTTACTGGTCTGCTTTCTAACTGTCATAGAAATTGCTGGCCAGGGAGACGGGATCCAGTCGCCTACAAGGCCTCATCTAGCAGGTCACTTCATTGCAGTTACTCCATCTCTAGGACAAGTGTTTATGCCCGACAGACTGAGGGATTTCAAGTCCTTTGGTGCTGCTGTTGAACTCAGAAGCCTTGTTCTGCACCTCTGCAGGGATCCCTTGTGAGCCGCCTCCAGACATTCCCAACGGGAAGCACACGGGCAGGCTGCTGGATGAATTCAACTTCGGCACATCTGTAACATACACCTGCAACCCCGGGTACCCGCTCCACGGAGAGCCCTCCATCTACTGCACCAGCCGGGACGGGAAAAACGGCGTGTGGAGCGGGCCGCCCCCGCGGTGCGGAGGTAGGGTTGCGTGTGCACGTGCAAATGCTCGGGTGCAGCCCTCCCGGCCCTCCCGCTTTGTCTTTGGAAAGATTAGGAAACCTCCAGCCAGTTGTGCTTCTTGCCCCAGTGCCTGCCAGGGCAGGATTTGCAAGGGCTGATTTGCAGCTGAGACCAGGCAGAGGCGAGGAGGCTGGAGGACCACCCCGCTGACCTCCAGCTGCCCCAGCCTCACCGTTCATCTTGGGTCTCTCTCTCAATGTTTGACATTGATGGACACAGCAGTGCATCATCTGTGGGAAAATTATTTTCAGACTTGCCTCTTAAGAGGGACTGCAACCTGAAGTGGCTTGGCAGCTGCACAGCTCTGCACGCTGCATAAGCGCCTGTTTTGAGGGCGTGCGCTTCTTTTCCAGAGGCGAGATGTCCTGTCCCACGGGTCCAGAATGGGAGAATAGTGTCCCCTAGGACTGCCTACACCCACAAGGACACGGTTGCCTTTGAGTGTGAGCCAGGCTATGTTCTACGCGGCCACAGAGTGGTACAATGCCAACTAAATAACACCTGGGAGCCACCCGTGCCGGTCTGCGATCAGGGCAAGTGTTCAAACAGTGCTCCGAATGCTGACCTTCCCCTGCTCTCCCAAATCTGCTTTTTCTTGACTCCTTCAACAACTGGGCTGGCTTATCTTTCTTGGTAGCTGGCTGCAATGCACCTACCAGACTGGCGTTTGCTGAGCTGAAGGAGCCCTACAGCAACCAGACCGTCTTTCCCGTGGGGAGGACGGTGGAATACGTGTGCCGGCCTGGGTACAGCCAGCACCTGGGGATGCCACCGGCCATCACATGCCTCAGGAATCGGACATGGTCTGTGGCTCCGGAGTTCTGCAAAAGTACGTCCTGCAAGTGCTGAAAAAAAGTGTCAGGCTTGGCTGGATTTGCACATTTTGTCTAGCTTTATGGGTTTCTTTGCTTCATGCGGTCTGCTGCCTGTGTTAGCATCCCTGGCTGGGATGTGAGCGAGCAGCTGAGGGCTGATGGTGGCTGGCGTTCCCTTCTAGGGAAACAATGCGCTAACCCAGGGGATCCGGAGAATGGCAGAGCTGTCGTCCTGACGGACCTTCTCTTCGGGTCCAAAGTTAATTACACCTGTGACACAGGGTGAGTCTTGCCACTAGCTGAATTCAGCTGCCAAGTGAGACTGAAGCAGATTTTCAGCTTTACGTGAAGGAACCTCGTTCCCAAGCCAGAAGTCTTAGCTTCCACTTACAAGGGTTGTAAAGAAATCTCAAGTCTCTTAATGTAAATGAATAAATCCTTCTGTGTGACTCCAGGCACAAGTTGGTTGGAGAGTCTCAGAGAACATGCGAGGTATCCGGCACACGTGTCGCGTGGAGTGGAGATGCTCCTGTCTGCCAGCGTAAGTAGGCCACAACAAAAGGCCCTGGGAGGTGACTTGCAAGAGAAAGTGTCACATCTTTCAAGACAAAGATTTTATTGCAAAAGATTTCTCAAGTCACTGTATGTGTAAAATCATTCTTCTTTTCATTCTGTTTTGTTTTGGATGCTTCTGAAAATGTTTCCAAAGGTCTTTTATTTATCCTGGTCCAAACTGGGAAAACCATTAATATTTTAAACTGCCTGTTACTAAGGTAAGTATTTCTCACTGGTCATGTGTAGGAATGGTGTGGGCAGTCTCTCTCTGTATGTGTCACCAACGGTTACGGAAAGGGAGGTAAGAATTGTCCCACCACCTCCGGACATGGGCAGCAAGTGACTCACAGGAGGGCACAGGTTTTCTTTCCTGTATGTGATTTTTTTCCATACAAGGTTTATCTCTGGATAATTTGGGTCATTGTCTCCAGAGAGCATCACCGCTGAGACAGGCTCATCCCCGTCGGTTCCCTTCCTGGGAAGCGCGTGTGTCCTGCAGACCCCAGGCACTGCTGCAGCGCTGATGCTAAAAGCCACCCTGTACACACCCGCAGGTGTCGTCTGCGATCCGCCTCCGGACATCCCCCACGGGAGGCACAGCGGGCACTCGATGGACACCTTCTCCTACGCGGACGTGGTCACCTACACTTGCGACCCCGGCCACTCTCTGGCAGGAGAGCCCTCCATCTTCTGCACGACCGCAGACGGGCAGCACGGCGTGTGGAGCGGGCCGCCGCCGCGGTGCAGAGGTAGGGCTCTGCGGTGTGCGGGCGTCCGACCCCGCCGGTGAGATCTGGTTGTGAGTGGCAGAAGGAATGACGGTGGCTGCGATGAGGGCTGCGCCCACTGATCGGAATACAGCTAACATGACAGATATTTACCAAAGGAGTTAATAGAATGAGTTGTCTTCCTCCTATGGTTTTTGAAGTTTGGATTTTTAAAATTTTTTTCTTGCCCTGTCCATATTTCTCACCTGCCTTTCCTTCTCCTTCGCAGAGGTGAAGTGTCCTCCCCCTCCAGGCATCGCCAATGGGAAGCACAGCGGCCAGCCCTCGGACACCCACCTCCCAGGCTCGGCTGTGCAGTACACCTGCAGGGATGGCTACTCCCTCATCGGGAACGCCTCCATTAGCTGTACCATCGAGGGAACATGGAGCCGGCCTCTGCCCCGATGTGAAGGTGTGTTTGTGTTGGCTTCTCTTATCTTTCCCCGGACCCTTTCTTCCTTCTTGTCTCTTGATCTAATCGCCGCAGATCAAATCTTCAGTGAGAGGCAGAGATCAAAGGTCCCCCAGGCAGGATGAGCTCCATCTGCCTCTGTGGATTTCCCTTTCTGTCCTCCAGTAAGGACAGACTCTCAGTTGAATAATGATATTTTGTGTAAGAGTAAGAGTCACATGCTCAAATGCCTGTGACAGTGATGGC